GTTATGGAGTTATGATTTTTTAAACAACATGATGTCAGAAAATCAGCCCAAAAGCTTATCTTATTTCTGTTGGTTACGCACCGCTGATTCGCAATGTTTGTCATCACTTCAAGATGTCTACCGATTCGTGAAAAGGGCCTATTAAAGACCCCTCCAATATATTGATGCCGTGGGGAAGGTCATCTCAATGCATAGCAATGTCAAAATTCTAAAACCTATAACTTTGGCAGGATATCCATTGGGCTTAGCAATATCCACATTAAATATCAGAAGGCAGGATGTCCAAGTGGGTAGTAATATCCACCTTCTAAAAGTTCTTGAGGCAGTATATCCGTCGTGCTTAATAATGATCATGTGATATTGAGACGTGTTACTAAAGTACATGCTATAAGTAAGTAGTTTGTATTGTATACATATTGTCAGTGCAAATGATCAAAATACATTTTTTATGCTTAAACAAGACTTTTTTTATACTGTAACTTGTTTAGATGCCAAAAATGGAGATTTCGAATAAAAATAAAATTTAGCTTTTGGCTACAGTAGTTAGCACACTATGCGCCATGAAAAATGGAAATTTAAGAAAAAAATGTTATTTATTTCGTTATGGCCCCACTCCTTTTAAAATATGTTATGTATATTTCTTTTTTACCTATCAATTTAAAGCATTTATTATTCTCATTACTACACTGTTTACATTCATCAATAAAATGTTATTTTTTCCCCCGCTTAGATGCTTTTGGCAAAATAATTTTGCTAAACAAGAAAACCTCCTCTGATCTTAAAAAAATAAGTTCACTAAAACAAGGTATTAAAAAAGTCTTGGTTTAAGTGATAATTTAAATTGTATGTATGTGGAGATTAACGATGGTAATGAAAACAAATTATTAATATTTTCAGGTTGTCTATCATGGATAATCACCAGGTAGATGATTCAACCGTGGTTCCATATTATGATATTCACATTAACAACGTACAAGAATCAAAACCTCTTCCACCGTGGATTCGCAAGATAATTTTTAAATCCCTTGGAATTAAAACTCACGCTAATGATAGACCTTGGTTTGCGACGATTTTGTACGTGCTGACGTTAGCAAGTGCAATGGGTTACTCCATCACAAATACGTGGTATACTTTTGCCGATGTCAAAAGTCGAAATACAAAGTTTGATGTTTTAAATGCTACGGTCATTTTATCTTTGACTTACGCTTTTTGTGGTATTGCTCTGTACGCCAACCAACTTGCTTATAAATTGTTTACAAGTAAAGTACTTGTTGATAGTGTTCGCCTTCATTCTAAAACTATGTTTAAGATAAATATAGGAATCCTTATTCTTGTTTGTGGACTGGTTTTTATTGGCCTGTATGATTATCAGATGTACAATAACTTTAAACCTTCCTACTGCTTGAATGTGTCTGTACCAGTTCCTATATGTCACGTAATGTATCCGAGTCATGTGATGTTATCAGCGTTTTGCCTGTTGTGGAACTTGCTGGTTGGCATTGTCTGTATCTCAGTCTGTAGAACTCATACACACAGTAAGTCTCTTCATTTAGTATAGTATAAGCCCATCTCTCTTGGAGACAAAATTAGGTTAATTTTAGGGGTGGGCTTATACCTGGAGAATCCCCTTTTCACAAAAAAATGACAAGCCTATTTAAAAACTTGACAGCAATTTGTAGGCCAATCAAAAGGCAATTTTCCAACACTGCATGCCAAAATCAAAGTCAGTCTTCGGTTTTCTTTTCAAAAGTACAAGTTTGTAAAGCCAGCTGAGCTGCTAATGTAAATATTTCACAGGTCTGAATCATCCCTGATTTTTGTATTATAATAATAATATTAATAATAATAATAAGTATTTCTAAAGTGCTCTTTACTGGTGTTGCTGCGTAATTAAATGAAATAAAATTACCATATTATAGGCATTCGGAGATTCTTATTGGAACTTGATATGGATGTGATTGCGTATGAACTAAACCAGATGCAGAAACAGAAGAGTGCCATAGATGAAACAGACCAAGGCAACTTTGTAGGTACTGCTGTGGATCATAAACTTACCATTCAAAGTGCTAACTATCGGAAACGAAAACACAGAAATTTAACAATACAGTCAACGCAGGATCTTGAGTGTAAGTCAAAAATTATTACATATTTATAACATTGATCTATTCATCATCAGCTGTTTCAGTCCACTGCTGGACGAAAGCCTCAGCATGTTGATGCCAAATCATTCTCTCTCTTACTGTGTTGCACCAATTCACTCTTTTCCAATGCTCATCTCTCCACCTTTTACTCTGTCTTCCCCAGTTCCTTTTGCCATCCATGGGTCTCCATTCTGTTACTGCTTTTGTCCATCTGTTGCCTGACATTCTACATGTCCTATTACCAACTGTTAAACACTTCAATGACAAGGTTACAAAATGCAATACAAAATCACAAACATACCATTATATAATTACAGATAAACATAAATACTCTATTAAGAAAATGTTTTGAATGTATTAAATTACATACATTGACACAATGGTTAAAAATTGAACTATTTAATTTTTATCTTTATATTTATTTTTATTTTATGAATCACCAGTATTTATCTGTGTCAGTGAAACCAGACTTGATTAGCTTTATGCTATTTGGTTTCCTAATTTGTCTATTATCATGTTTTTACATACCGGTACTTATAAAACTATATTTTATGTGAAAAAGGCAAATAAAGAAAGAAAGAAGAAAGATATAATTTCATTCAATAGCATAGCATCTAACAAAATGTTATTATGCAATATGAATTCAGTTAATAATTACAAATTGAGAAAAAATCTGATATCAAATGCAAGAGTGGGTCTAAAGTGTCCACTTATATGTAGTTTTTATCTGATATCAAATATTGTTGGGTGTACGGTATCTACTTAACTTTTATCTGATGTCAAATTGTGTGTACAGAATGGTAAGGTCTGTAGTTTCATAAATAATAATAACTAAAAAATTATATGATTATTTCTATACATTACACTCATTAAAGATTGTAAGCAGTTGTTCCGACATTGTTAGGGTACTTGTGATTATACTTTCCTTGCCATCACACTTAAACACCTGTCAAAGAGTCAGAAAATAGACCACCTTGGGTTTCTAACATCGCACACCATTAATCCTACTTGTATTTTGATTACATTATTTATAAGTGTGGCTATGGAATGTTTTTCCATAGCTTATGACAAATATAAGATTACTGTAGCATCAGATACATCATACAATTTTCAAAATACTGTTTCACCCCCTCCCCCGAAATATTCACTACCTAAAATACATTTACGAGTATGTTCAAGTTTTTGACAGCTCACCTGCCATTTTTATATAGCAGGCACTATTACTACCAGGAACTAGAGGGTGTCCTTCAAAAGAACGTAAAAGGTGTTTATAAATAGAGTGCCCACTCTCTCATGGTATTACTTTTTCAATGTTAAATTGCATACAAAAATCACAAAAGTCGGACCTCTTGCAATTCTATACTATTTGTAACGAATAGAATAACATGTTTGTGTGGTGCTATTTAAGTACTGGTGTTCAGTGTCATTCTCCTCATTTTAGTTGAATGGGATCAGAACGAGACAGCTAGGAGGCGCAGGTCAGTGGCTGTGTTGGCCCGTAGCTTCGAATCTTATGGTCTTCTTCACAAGGTTGGCGACGCATCACATCCACCATACAAATGTCTGCAGGATTTGTGCAATGCACATCAAGTGCAGGTGTGTAATCATTTAGTTTACCTAAGTTTACTCTATCAAGTTGACACCAATAAAATCCTTTTATTACTGGGTTATCCATGTTTTCATTTTCACTACTATTTATTATTTTGTCTGCGAAGTTAGCTAACCATGGGCATCATCATGCACAGCAAAGCACAATTATATGTGTCAAGAGAGCTCATATTAAACTCTTGTTAGTGGCAACTTCCAACTTGCAGAATCCATCTCATGGACTCTTGGTTTGGAAGCCGAATGACGTACAGCATGTTTTCTCATGCTTTTTTATTCTTGGTTGCTTGGTTAGACTTTAGGATTTATTTTTTGGTTTGTTTTTCTTTCGTGTAACTTAAGCGCATAGAGACCATGTAGTATGCGCTTTACAAATCCCAAACCATTACCATTACCATTACCATTATATGTACTTCCACAAAAGCATAGTAAAAAATGTAAATCCTTTGCGAGCCATTGAAGCAATGTAGATAGAGTACCTTGCTAAATGACACAAGTGAAATGCACAGCGCAGGATTGAAACCCGACCTCGAGGTGAGGAAACCAAACCATTTCCACTGCGCCAAACCATTTCCAGAAAAGCGTAAGAATATATTATTATTATTATTATATTAATTAGGGTGCGACAATATGTGGTAAAGATGACCAGCGTCACAAATGCCCAAAATATTTGTTCTATTCTGTAGACTGTAGGCCTATTTTAAGCTTTTCATTCTTGTTTATAATTGCTTGATAGTATCCAGGCAACAAACCAGCTCAAGGATCAGATGGAGATGGTGAGGATGAAGTTGACATGGATATAGCTGAGATCCACATAGAGATGCTTAGCAACCAGGAAATCCTCAACAAATACTGGAAATTACAGGTAAGAATTTTATGTCAGAAGACATTTCTGATTTTCCCAGACATTAGCCTGGTTCTCACGAGAGCCCTAGTATCCGGATCGGGAGCTAACCGTTAGCGCTAACTGTTAGCACCTGCGTGAGAACGCCCAATCGGTTAGCGCTAACCGTTAGCGGTATCCAGATACGCTAACGGAGCAAGCGCTATCGATTAGCAAGTTGAGGACATTTCTATCATCAACCAATCACATGTACGCTTTTACAATTTCCAGTTTCTTATTGGCCAGTGATTCGATCATCATATTGTTGGTATCCGGATCGGGATTTTCTCGCATGGATGCACGGCAGCTAACGGTTAACAGGATCCGGATCCTGCTAACCATTAGCTGCCGTGTGAGAACATAGCCATTGTCTTTTACAAAGTAATTTCCAAAATGTTTTGAAACACAGTACAAAATATATGACCACACTATGTTCTACACAGACTTTGAATGGAGCTCTCATTATTATAACCATTATACCAAAAAGCTTTTGACTGACTCAAAAATCTTGCATCAGTTTTTTTGGTAAATTTTTTTCCCCAAGGAGACCAAAATACCTTTTTTTACCAGGTTTGAAGAGTGAGAGGTTGGGGGACCGGGCTGGCCATGCTCTCACTTTTGGAAAGTCGAAAAAAGGAAAAAAAGAAAGTAAGAAGGAAAAAGAAATAATTGATCACCCAAAACACCTCAAAGATTATTTTTGGGTGTCTAGAAAACATGAATTTTGCGGGGGTAGTGTGGCCTCAATCGGCCCCAGTTTTGTCCACCTATTTCGCCTCCCATTTTGGACATCTCTGGATCCGCCCCTGGAGTGCTTTGAAAAAACAACAATGTATTTTGTCTTATTAGGCCAAAAATTTAAATTTGTTTTGCCCAAACTCACTGGCAACTAATATTCAGGGTCAGTCGGTCAGAAATTTTTATTTTCCTTCCCCATTGCTAAATGATTGATAAATGTAGTATGAAAAGACTTAACATGATTGTATAATTAATTTGCAGTGTCGTCTTCGCACAACGTCAATCTACCTGCAACGCTGGCTAGCTTCTTGGATCATTTTATTGATAACCTGGAGTGTTTTCTACCTGATCTACTGGATAGATCATGATGCTACCATCTCTGACATGGTTATCTTCTTTATTCCATTAATCTGTCTTCCAATGTTGTGTTCAGCTCCAACTGAGGTCAATGGAGAAGGTCAAAGAGTGGCTAAGGTACGTATAAATTGCTTCAACCAATATTCCCTTCATATGGCTTAATAGATTAATAATTGTACAGTATTTTGAAACATTTTTGCACAGCAGGGAATAGAGGGTCTTAATTCGCCTGCAAGTCGCAGGAGCCTATTTGAAAATGATCTGCGTCCTACATTATTTTAAGCATTGTTTTAACTGTATATTCTGAAAATCTAAAGCACTTTAAAAAAAAATTATTATTTCAGAGTATTGTGCCCACTGAAGAAAGGATGCAACTTATTGGCTTCATCATGAGGGCGCCGTTGTCTATCACAGTATGTGTGTTTTGGCTTTTATGTTTATTTTAACTTTTTCCTTTCACTATATATAATTATTGCTGTCAGGGATTTCTTGTTTATTCTTAATTCTAAGTGTTTTGTCTATTTTGACCCCAATAATAAAGTCCGATTTTCTCAATGCGTTGCTGATTATCTTTATACTTCCAATATAAACCATATATGGTAGCATAAACCAGTGGTACAATACATACGACATCCAACCAACAGTACGATACATATGATATGCCGTCTAACCAACGTAACGAAAAAGTGACAAAAAACATACTACAAAATAGTTACGATAGATAATGGCTATCTCACAGTTAACTAATCATATTAACAATTAATAAGTCTTAAGCATTGATCCTCATATCCTATTTTGGCATGCAAGGCCTATATTAAGGATACATGCTAAAGCAATCATCTAAACATGAAGATTATATTATTATTAAGTTATGTTTATATATTATATAATTAAGCCTACTTACAAGGTGTACTCGGGTAGGGGTCGATGAAACAGATGAATCTTAGGTCAAAGTGAAAAAAGCAAAGTTGTAATTGTGATAATACAGTAACTTGATTATTCTTCAAGGAATTCTTCTGATATTATATAATTCAAACTTAATTATATATGTTTCTACTGCAGACTGTAAATCTAAGTGCAAGTAATTCTATTTCATGTAATTTGTCTACAGATATTTGGGATGTCTCTAAACTATGCAACAGTCGTTGGTGCTATAGTGGCCATCGCCTTGGCGTTTGCAACCAAGATTCTTGTTGCTGAAGTATAAGAAAAATGTGGACATAGTGTCAGAAAATAGAGGCTACAAGAACCTTCAAAAGAATTTATCAAGAAGAAGATAAATGTAAAATTATCAGATTTTATGAGAACATAGTTGATTCAATGCAGGGGTGGCGCCAGGGTTTACCCGACAGGGAATCCGAGGTTCCCGTCGGGGGGGAGGATGCCAGATGAGGGGGCAGATTTTCCCGACAAGAGTAAAGTGGGCATGGTCAAACTTCGCTTAAAATGTTTAAGTGGTCCAGGGGGCAAAGCCCCCAAAATTTTTGACAATTTAGGGGTTTCAAAGGCTTATTTAATCGATTTTAGAGTCTACAATATGTAGAAAATACATATAATTTTTTTTTCTTCCCGATGAATTGTGGTTTTTCTCCCCGACGGGAGGGCCCAGCTCTCCCCGACGGGGTGCCCTGGCTTCCGCCGCCCCCCACTGCGCCACCACTGATTCAAGGCATCAACAACAAACGTGAAGTTATTCTAGTATATGCACACTACATAGTTCATTTTATTATGTCTTCATTAAACATCCTTCTGCTGACAGTGTAAACATGAATTATTAAAATACAAGTGGTTCTTTTCTGATATAAATATATACACCATGAATCTTTCGCAATAATACTAGAGTGCTAACTTGGCAAGATGCCAATAATTATTTTGTTTATTGTTGGCTCAAATGGTCGCATGCTTGTACAGAAGACTTCTAAGATAGGCTGAATTAGTGTCACAGAGATGTGTATTCAAAAATCAATTCGCACATTTAGATTTTATAATTATTGTAATATTACTATTATTTTTATTATTATTGATATTGTTGTGGTTGTTGCTGTTATTGTTGTTATTGTTTTTATTATTGTTATTGGTTTTGTTGTTATAAGAGTTGCAATTTGTTAAGACGAGCACAATATTCTGAAGTACTAATAGTGATTTTATCTATATTGTACATTTGAATAATTCATATAAGAATTTTGAGAAATTTTATATATATATATGATCCTGTCTCTTATACACATCTAGATGTGTATAAGAGACAGCAAAAAATACAGTGTAGGCCCCTATGTACGTTATCAATAAATTCTATATTTATCCAAGTCCAATGCCTGTCTAATTGATTTGTTTTATAGTTACTGCTGTATTTGTAATCAACATTAATTAATTAATTGATTAACTTATTTATGTAATAATTCATCTAATACTGTATTATCATTCTAATGTTCAGTTGTCAAGCTAATTCAGTGTTATTGATGCAAAACTAGTAAAAAGTGTGCTGCGAAAAATTTCAGACCGACGACGGTGGGAGTTGCCTGCCCGACCGTTGTGTCCTACTTTTGTGTGGCGCTGGTGACGTGTGGCGTAAGCGTGTCAAAGGTTGAATAAACAACCACAAAATAACAAAGCAGGAACGTGGAGCGATCGCTGAAAACAAAGATGAAGTATTTAGGTCCTTGTCGCAATACATCAATGTTGCTACTAATTATATTGTCTATACATCCTTCACTATTACCGTCTGTGTGCAATGAAAACTTATTTTCCTCGGAAGATGATAGGGTAAAGAGTACCTGCAATACTGCTGATGTAATTCGAGGGCCTTGTCAGATCCCGGACGACCACGACAGTGCCGCACCACAGTGCATGTCTGATGAGAAAGTAGGCCTAGGCCTACAACTTTTTACATCACTTGAAGACTGGGTTTCCTATGTAAAACCGTGTCTACTTGTTAGAGGTAATAAGCTAGGCCCCTACTGGTACTACTAGTACTAAATTTACCAATAGAGACAGAAAATATATTGATTTAATATAATTTAATGGAACTTTTCTTCATGAAAGGAAAGATTATTGATAAATAAAAATATGCACAGATATTTCGCCTAGGCCCAATAATATTGATATGACTTCTAGATTGGAGCCTCATGAAAAAAAATATATATTTGCTATTTAAAAAAGCAATAATTTTTTCATGGAAAATAAAAATAATGATAAGGGCAAATAGAAAAATGTATTAGATTATCACTCCTTCCCGCGTAAAAAATTCGGGAAATATTGATGCGGGAATAAAAAAAAAATTGTTTTACCGCATCAATTATTTCAACAGCATAAAACAATTTTGTGACTTCAAATACATTTTCTTTAAAAACTATAAAATTAAACCACTTTTTATACAATATTTACTACTACTTGCCAAATATAAACAGTCCCTCCCTCATCGATAAAAACAGAAGCAAAATAATCTATTGTTCCAATTTAAAAAAAAAACACTGCTTTTCCTCATTGATTTAAAAAAAAAAGAGTGATTTCTGATAATTTTTTCTATGTGCCCTTATATGAAAAATTGGAGGGACACAAGTAAACAAGTAAGTATAAATGGCAGAATACATTGACAAAGATTTATTTTACTTCTGTTAAAATCAAAAACAAGTTTTATTATTTACCATCCTATTTACCACTAGTATAGGAGTAAATAGCAAATAGTACCCTCATCAAAAAATAATTTAAAATTTTGGAGGTAAAACTAACAATAATTTTATTTGGCCTAGGCCTGCCTATAGGCCTATTTAGTTTGTGGGAGGCTATCCAATTTCTTGGAGATTATCTCATCAACTTGCAGGTGGCCTGGGGGTCCTGATAGTTTGTTAAATACATTATTTACAATAAGAAGAAACTTTACTAGCTATGACTGGTTTTTAACTAATTATCATTTATTTTATCTTTTAGAAAACTTCCCAATTGATCCAATTAAGGCTAATTTTGTGAGGCAGGTAGCAAATGCTGTATTCTCGTATGCGTTACCATCAACTTTAAAATCAGAAGTTCAGCTTGTTGCTGTGGCAGATGATGTGATGGAGAATGTGTTGGATTTGCATCGTAGTGTATCAGAGCAGGAGTTTTTCCATGCATTTGTTTCAGGGAATACCATTTTGCAACATGTACCAACATTAGCTCATCGTTATGGGGGCCATCAGGTAGATTCCTATGATCATGCTTATTACATTGTTGTTGTTATTTTTCCAGTAGCGGTCTGAAAGGGGCGGAACCTATGGTCAAAACAGGAAAGTTTTGGGGTGGTCCCTTAACTACAATCTAAATGATTTCACATCGTTATGGATTTTCTTTGTTGCTGCTATGAGCCAAGCTTCCCCTTTTCCAACCCCTGCCCAGGAACTGCCAGTGTTTTCAAGATTGTTTTTTGTTTATTATGTACAAACATTCATTGGGTGAAACTAACTGTATAATTGGACATCGTCCTGAATCAATAAGCACTGTATTCATAACAATTAATATTGATGTAGAATAAATGAAGGCTTAAGTAGACCACTTTATTGTATTAAAAAAAGTCTATTTTTAATAATTAATTTATAGTTTGGCAGCTGGGCTGGCCAATTGGGCGATGGTAGAGCACATCTGATTGGTGAATATACAAATAGGTAATAGAGTCAATATTTTAAAATTAATTTGAAATAATTTTTAATTTGTGATTGAATAATATGCTCTTTAAAATGTTAAAATATAAATAATATTTTGCTTTACAGTAATTCAGACATCAAAATTACCAGGTTTGCAGTCAGTGTGGGTGGGTCAGGTGTCCTGATTAAGATTATACCGATGACCAATTGTACAATATAAATACATGTTATGTAAAATATTTCTTGGCGGTTTGCATGGCGAGTATCAATAACAAAATCATAAAAATGTCCGTGCACCATGTGTACAAATATGGTTTTTTGAGGTAAAACCACTGGTTGGCTGTCTCATATTATGTAGCATAAAATATTGTTATAATTGCTTGATTTTCAGAAAGAATGAAACATGGGAACTGCAGCTTAAGGGGTCAGGGTTGACACCATACTCAAGGCGAGGAGATGGGCGAGCTGTCCTAAGATCATCTGTAAGGGAATTTTTATGTAGTGAAGCAATGCATCACCTTCATATACCAACCAGTAGAGCTGTGAGGTAACAAGCTGTCTTAAAGCTTCAGGTGCACATATTGGTGTCATTGTCAATGATAAAGCTGTATAATCAAACAATCATGTAGTGTTATTGTCTGCAGTATATTCATTTAAAGTTTAAGATTCAGTATTTGGTTACAGTATACTGTATTGCAAGACAATTAAGCCAAGTAATAATGCTCTATAATAAATACAGACAAATATACCGCAAGCTGTATGATTTTATGTTTATATGGCTTGAACATTGACACAATCATGCACTCTATGAGACAGCTTATTGGTATATAGCCAAAATGGTGGCGGCAATTACATTCCATATTTTGGTCTTATCGTATTGAGTTGATTGCTCGTAATTGCTAAATTATAAACTTCCCAGTTGACGTAAAAAAATATTGGTATAAAGGAATCTAAAATGATTTGTTGATTAATTTTCTTATTTCATTAATTTGTCTCCGTACACAGAAGGTGCTACGACAGTATAATAACCAAACATGATTAAACTATTCGGACAATAATATACTGTAATAAGTTTTTTGTGGCTATTGTTATTCTAGTCTTATTGTAAGTAATGATCCTGTAATAAGAGACCAGTTTTATAATGGACATCCAAAACAAGAGAGGGCAGCAGTCGTTCTTCGTCTGGCACCAACCTGGTTCCGATTTGGATCCCTTGAGATACTTGCAATCAGTGGGGAGAAACATTTGCTGAGGTAACTTATAACAATTTGATTGGTTGTTTTAAAACTTGGATTTCAAAAATATATAAAGATGAGAAAATGCTTTGTTGGAAATGTTTATTCGCTGCATTCTAGCGTCAGTAGTAAAGTTGTGAAAATTGTTTAAAAAAAATATCAAAAATTATACAGAAACATAAATGTAATTAGAAATTAAAAATTACAAGAAATATTGAATTACCTTCTTTTGAAATATTTCAAGCTTACTTCAAACTTACTTTTAACTCATCTAAATGTACAAAAATAAGAGAGTAAGTACTTAAAACAAAGATAGTTTTTAAAAATTTATTATGATATCAAAAAATTGGATTTTCTCCTCTTTCTTCCCAGGAAGCTTGTTGATTTCATCATAGTGCAATATAATCAAGACATTGATGTTTCTGATCCGGACAAATATTTAATGTTTTACTCAAATGTTGTTACCATGACGGCAGAATTGATTGCACAATGGCAGTCAGTTGGATTTGCACATGGTGAGGAATACTCTCAGTAAGGATGCATGTCACAATAAATCATTGGATAGGGAAGATTTTATCCCCCCCACCCCCAACCACAAAAAAAAAAAAAAAAATCCCAGGCCTAATGGTGTAACAGAGGCCTTGCGCTTGCATGTCTTCCCAGCACCACCTCTCATGCCTCATGCCCTGCCCTATTGTCAGTGGTTTTGTATAGTGAAATATAATAAATTTTGCCTTATAGTTGTATGTCTGAAATAAAGAGATGCTGATTGCCAGGATTTTGAAATCAAAGTTTAATTTTTTCTCTCTTTTCAGGGGTCATGAATACAGATAATTTCAGCATTTTATCTCTCACCATAGACTATGGTCCATTTGGATTTCTAGATGAGTACAATCCAAAATTTGTTCCAAACTATTCAGATGATGAAGGCAGATATAGTTTCGAAAACCAACCCTCAGTTGGTCTGTATAATTTGCAAAAGTTAGAAAAAGTGCTGAAGGTTCTCGTACCAGAGGATCATCACATCCAGTAAGATATGTCTTGTTATAAAGACAGTATTTTTAAAAAACATAAAAAATTACTTTCAAACATTGAATCATTAATATTGATACATTATTAGCTTCACTAGATTCATAAAAATGATTCTACAAATATCCTATCAATCAATTGAAAGTTCTTTTTGCAGAATATAGGAAATCGTTTTCAGCAGCAGGTGCAACCTTGTGGTTGGGGTTCTAAACTCGCTGTGCAAGTCGCTTGTGTCCTTGGGCAAACCACTTTATCTGCATTCTCTCTCTCTCTCCAACCAGGAGTATAAACTGATACCAGCATATGCTGGGAATTGTAAACTGACTCGCTGTGAGGAGGAGTGGTGATCCTCTCAAAGCGTTGCAGTCTGGCCCCCAACACTTATGAAAGAGGGATGGGCACTCCGAACCTGTACAGGTTCTACTATCGACTATTATAGGAAAGAGATTTTTTATTTATTGTGTCACCTGTGACAGCTGGTTGCCACTGTTGGCTTGGAATGAAATTAAATTCCCTTACTGCAATGTTTATTGTGTACTTGCTATATATTGAGAACTTCTAAAATCATATTTTTTTTCTTAAAGGTTGACAAAAATAACATCATTTTATATGGATATCTATAAATCCAAGTTCATGGCAATACATCGGAGAAAGTTGGGTTTATTGAATGAACACAATCATGAAGATAATGAATTGATCGAAGTTTTCTTGAAGGTGTGTTTTAAGTTTTGTTTGCCATTATGGTTTTTATTCATAAAGTCTTAAAACGAGCCTACTATTGCATAAACAAAAATACATCTATTAAAAGTATCATTTAAAATAATTGATTTGTATTTTCTTTTATAACTACCTTACAGATGATGGAGGATACTCGGGCAGATTTTGCAATGACGTTTCGACAATTGAGTTCTCTGACATTCAAAGAAATGTCATCAGCTGCAATCCCAGATGGCTTATGGGCACTGAAACAACTTCAGCAGCATAGAGATTTTGATAGATGGATGAAATTGTATGCTGATAGAATTAAACTGAATGGAGAAGGTGATGGGGACCAAGAAAGGCAAAAAAGAATGAACAGTAAGTGACATTATTATTATTTTAATAAAATGAATCAATTATTTTTTAATAAACTATAAAATATATTGTTGAGATTAGTACTGTAATAGTATTAGTAGTACAGTACAGTATCATTAATATGTTGAATTTCAACATTTGTTTATTATAGTTGTGTAATATTTCTGTAGCTTTACGTTGGTATTCCATAATTTTCAAGCCTACCTTTGTCCAAGTTATTGCTGGTTACCATGTGATTTTAGCTATAGTATTTATTTATATCTTGTATTTTGAGTAGTTATTTCACCACCTTATAAGTTGTAATGATATATTTTGTTATTGTTTTAATTATTATTCATTGTAAAAAGTTCATCATCATTATAAACTGGTGGTAATTGCCTATAAATTTCATTTTAGAAATAAATCCAAGATACATACTTCGTAATTGGATTGCTCAGTCTGCTATTGAAAAAGCTGAGAGAAATGACTTTGATGAGGTAAAACTACTATCAGAAGTTCTAAGAAATCCATTTGAAGAACAAGACATTGCAGAAAGCAAGGGCTGGGCAAGCAAGCCGCCAAGTTGGGCTAAGAAACTTAAAGTCAGTTGCTCATCTTGACCCCTCATTCTACAGACATATTAGTATGTTTTACTTAATTATGAATTCAACACAGAAAAGAATGCAGGAGACCCGCCAAATTTTCTTTGCTTTATCCTGGAGTTAAAAAAATCACAAAAGCATCCAAATAACCACAAACATATTTTATTAAAGAAATAACGCAGCACTTATGATGCGCCATTTGTGCAGATATTTGGATACATAAACAGCCCTTTAAAATGTACCTGCAGACCACACTTTGCCCATCTGTGACCTAAAGTATGGTACATGAACAAAATTAATGGACCATTGTTTTAGGCAATAATTTTCTACTGAAGTAGGCGTCAGTATGTTTCGTTGGCAAAGGGCCTTGCTGTACATTTTCTATAAAGCCTTGTCTTCATAGTTATTGCTGTATGTTTTAAATATCCTGTGCATTGAAAACAAGGCAATACCAGCACCTTGGCTAAGCTAACCAAGATCAGTGACTGTCTGTGTTGTTGGGTACCTCAGTTTCCTTTCTGACAATTCCTCTGGCTGTTCGAGCACTACTGGTTCTATTTTACCAATTTTAGTGACTTCTGAAAGCGGTTTAAAATCAGCTAATTCTTCTACTCTTCTTGGTAAATTAAACAACTTTTAGCACTGTCAACATTGACTTTTTATTTTATTAATTTTTTAGATTATGTAGTATACATGTTGCCAGTATCCAGTTGGGTTTATTGAATGCAGTTTATAAACTCTAAACCTATTTGACAATACTACAAATGCATTTTCAACATTCCTTCTTGTTCTAGATAGCCCGTAGTTACAAAAAGTTAATACTGTACAGTATTTATATTGTACCGTAGATGCTTGAATAAGCACCGCTCTCAAATAAGCGCCGCTCTCGAATAAGCGCTGCACCAAACATAATTTTTTTCGTTAAGCGCGCTCTCGAATAAACGCCGCGGCCCTTAATCGAGAGTATATAATATTACCGTGTGTAACGAAACAGGGTTTTAAATTCAATGTATACAGTGTTAAAATGAATAAATAACACAATGAAGACACAAGCATTTCTTACAAACGTTTGCTTACGATGATGGGACCTATGATAGGCCCACATAGAGGCCTTCACATTTGCACTCAATTCACAATTATTATTATTATGTGTTTTCATGTTTTGTAGTAAGGGAAATGCATCATCTTCTTCAATTATAAAGAGAACTGGAGAGTATCTTCATTTGGTAGTGGAGGAATATGCAGAGAATTTTCTATGTAAAGATCCTCGAAATACACCATCACTTATCCATCCATTTTAGCACACATGTACATTTTAAATTATAATTTAATATAATAGTTTAATAGTGTTGTGGTAACAAACAAGATTTTGTGGTAACACTTTCTTATATTCTCAAAGAATTCCATTTTCTACAATATGCAAAAAGCAGAAGCATTACAAAAATAATATGAGCAGTTAGACAAAACTCCATATCATTCAGCAACCTATCAACTGTTGGAAACCCCTGCATTTCATTGTATCCTTTAAGTGTTATTTAAAAGTACAGCATGTAAATAATGATGAACACAAAGGTTTAGACTGCTGCTGCAAAGTCATTTTAAATTACAAATTGAGGCAGAAAGAATAAACAATAAACTTTATTTTTATATTTATACATTTATTATTCTACTCAATACAATAGTAAAGGTAATAATTGTTTACATAACCCACTATACATACAGTACGTACTTTTACATTAAAACAAATTAGTATAATTAGGACATTAAGTAGTATCATCTTTATGAATAAAAAATGCTTAGTAGTCTGGATGGAGTGTGAATACCACCAGAATGTGGTGCAGTTAGTACTGATGACAGTAGAAAATGCTACCTGAATTATAAAAGATATCAAATTGTTATTAAAATATAAAGTTAATGTACAAGCAATAATCAGTAAACAGAGTTCTTCTGTGATATAAGTATGATTATAGAGCATTGTTTGGTGTCAGATAGTTTTGGTTTCATCAGTTGAGCTTTGATTCATTTCAGACCATTAATACTACTGTATAGCACTGAGTTTATACTCAGATGACTAGTTACGAGATTGCAAAGTGAAACACGTCTCTTTATTTACACAATTTACAGACCATCTAGTTATAGCACAAAGTGTATTCTGTAATACTGCTATAGTAAAAAACTCAAGCACCACTGCTTGAATTTCTGTTATGTTTTTTTTTCTTTTTTAAGTTCAGCCTTTCTTAATTTACCAAACTAAGCACATCACTGTTAACTACCACTAAAGAGATAAGAGAGAACACACACTTTATTACTAATTTTTAAGTATATTGTAAATATTTATACAATTTAACTACATTCAGACATAATTTTATTAGAAAAAATAATTGAAAGCCGACCACCATATTTTGAAGAATATTCACACCCTTGGCAACACTTGGGTAATAAAAATAACTTTACTGTTAGTATTCAGACTGCTTCTCCATTTTTTCCCCTATTCACCTCACTTTTACAGGGTATAATTTTCTCTGGATGAAACAAATGTCCCCTGACTCTGTAAACAAAGGCAGAGTACAACATCCCTCCCATAGCTACAAACATGACAGAAATGAATATGAGGATGCCAAAGGTTTCCGGCTGAGGCGCGATGATTACCAGCACAAAATGCAGCATGTCCATGAAACAGTTAAGCGAGCTCTGAATACCGTTAACAACCCCTCGCTCATTCTCAGCAATATTTTCCTGTAAAAGCTGTGTTACGGTCAAGTCAAACATCCACAGACCTGAAAAGGAAAAGAATTCACAAAAAAAATTACCATAAGCATATTTTGTTTAATATACAGTAATAATGTCTTGATTTATATACAGTGCATTATACAGGTTGAGTCACAAAGAGCTTGCAACATTATAACTCCTGGTCACTGTATTCATAGATTAGCTAGGTGGGACAAGTGCTATTTCCAGGGGAGCATACCTAATAAACATCCTACCAGGTATCTCTTGGGTGGATGGACAGACAACTAGACAGCAAGGGCTTGAGAATGCAACCATCATGCTAACCACTTCTACAGTACAAAATAATTCAATTTCATTGGTTCTCACTAACCTGTTCTTGACAAAATCATTCCTGCGAATAGCAAACCAACTGACCAATAGGAATGCTCGCCAATATCATCAGGCGCTATACTAGTCTCATTGCTACCATAGGTATCAGTGTAGTACATTGGTTCTTCTGTTGGTGGAGGAGTCCGTCGTTTATAGCCAATATCAAAAGATGATCCTGGTGCATACACAGATGCAACGCACAATGAAAGACAAAGAATCTGTTCAAAATTTGCATATATTCCTGTGCGTTCCAATCCAATACGCTTCCGCACCATCGGGAAGATTATAGTTCCCAAGACTCCCATCAGTGATCCCAAAGCCAGGAATATTCCTAGAACAGTTTCCGAGACACCTTGGCTGTAACCGTAACCATTGGAAACGGCATCGAAACCAAGAACAGTCATGTAAAGTAAAGAAAGACTAATACCCGCCCAAGACACTTGATAAGATTTGTATGTTTTAAATCCCTGATAAGTTGATGTAAACCACTTAAAAATTCGCCCAAATATTCCCTTTCTTCTTGTGTCATGCGCTTCAGACCTGTCTTGTCTTAAACCATTCTCTTGTTCTTCATTAGCTTCATCATTAATTGGTCTGTATTCCTCATTTGTTGGGTCTTCGTCTGTACAAAATAAATTACAATTAGGTAATATCAAAGGACAGGGATGAAGTTATGGTGGGGCGGGGCCACCCAGCCTTGAAGTTTTAAACCCAGTCTAAAGCTAATTTCATGGCCCTCCACCAGCCCTTATTAACCCACTTTTCCGTACTTCAAATCCACTCTTATTATTTAGAGTTTACCAATGTTATTTCACCCACCCCTAAAATATCTATCACTTACTCTTAGTTTTCTATGGCTACAACCCTGAAAGGAGTAGGTGGTAAATGTTTAAATACTGTTTTCTACCTGTTTATGACTGTTGGAATGTCATTGTTATTGCTTTGTTGACCAAAAAGAGTATTAGGGAGGCTGTTTGCTTGAACCGACTTTCCCACCCCCTGGATCTGCCACACATTTGCCTAGTAAGTAGGTAGATATTTAAATCAAATAATAATACAGGTATCCCTCCAATTAAAGACAACTTTTGGGACCAGGGTTTCCATGGCCTTTAGCAGCTTTGGTCTCTAATAATTAGAATAATAAAGATAAAAGACATTTATTAATACCGGACAACAGGAAAGTGGTCTTTATTTGGAGGTAGTCTTTAATTAGAGGGAGACATGTACTCAAATAATATGTCTAAACCAATACTATATTTAGCATACCTTGACTTGTTTTAAATTTTTTGACTGCAAGTTCTGGAACAGCCTTGTAAACTCTGTGAAGCTGGAAATACTCAACAAACATTGACGCTAAGTTCCAACTGGCAAGGAAAATCGCTGCAACTTCTAACGATAAATACGTCATAATAAAACCAACTAAAAACGGTGCTAGGATGTTGGTAAGGAGATCAATGCGGCGAATCACAGAATTCATTTCTGAGAAAGAAAAAAGGAACCATTGTTGTAATAATAAAAGCCACTGGCATCTTAACGGCACATTGGATGTTTTATTCAATATTTTCTGACATGATTGATAATGAGATTTATTCAACGATGCCCTTCTATGTCAAAAATAATGAGAAATGTACCTGAAAGTCTAACTCCATCTCCACCGGCAACTACAACAACCCAATCTTTCTGTATGCATATCTTCAAAGCTACGCTGGCAACATCTGCTATGCAGCCTATCACAATTATAACGCCTAGGGTCAAGATAACAAGAGCACCCCCTAACTGCTCCTTCAGCCAGCTTTCACACAGAAGGAAGAAGAGAAGAAAGAGGGCACACACCATGACAGATGAGTTTTGGATCACAAGGGAAATCCTAGTAGCTGAGAAAATAAAAATCCAATAGTTTGAATAATGAATACAATATCTCTGAGAAAATTTAGGATTCCAAAACAAAATGGTTAGATATAAGATCAAAGGATTTTTCCAAAACAACATGATGTTATTAAGTCTTATCATAAATAATATGTAAAAAAGATTTAAACATTCCGGCAGTGATAATGGTAAATTTGTTAATCATGCTTCATGAATTGTTTTTAATCTTGTTGAACTCTTATAACAGGATGGAAGTAACTCTTATAAAAAAAACAGTAATGCTGACATATTAGCAGAACTACTTCCATCTCCCTCTACATTATAGGGAGCATTGATATTGATTGAAATTGAATTCTTCCCTCATTTTTTCCCTTCCTAATTGGTATGAATCCATTATACACATTGTCATCACCCTAGGGGCAATTTTGCACAGACCAAATTATTCACATCCTGCTATACAATGCACAAATTTATTATGACAGGGTGAAGAGAGACAGGTTTAGATATAGTGCCTTGCACAAAGATCCTAAAAGAATGACCAGAATTGAACGCAACCATTTAACCTTTCAGTTGAAAGCCAAAACAAAGCCTTAACCGCTGTTTCACCTCTGTGTTTCTTCAATGAAATAATATACTTTTTGAACAATATAAGATCTATTATATCACAATAATCACACAATTATACTACACTGTAAATTTCGCTTGTGTCTCTCCACCCTGGAATATAAGTGCGTACCTAGAAGGATGATGTAGCAATTGAATGTATTAGTCTGTATCTGTATTAAAATTGCAAACATGACTGGAATACTCCCCAGGAAGTGGAGAAGATTGCACTTTGTCTCAGTTTGCCAAATTATTGATCCAGGGTTAATAATAACATTTAAAAAAATCACAAGTGCCTTGCATTCCTAGGCAAAAGGTACAGTATATATCCCTATACAGTATTCTTATTTATTATTATTATTAAAAATTAACCTTTCTATGGATTAATTAAGACACCAAAATGTATACCAATATTACTCAAAATTGTTTTATTGTCAATTAGTTATAGGAAATCATTCTTCAATTTACAAGAAATTATAATAATTAATACAGCTTCCATCAATTAAAGATACATTTCCATACGAAGTACATATTTCCTGGAACTTGACAATCCAATCATTTAGCAATTAATTATGAGGGCAATTAATCTGTAATTAAGACATTCTCTTGCAATAATACAGGATGTTTTGTAAAAAGAATGACGGATACAAACCAGTCATTAGTGCAAAACCGTTAAGTTGGCAATGTTCCCAAAAGGCAAGCTCAATTACAGTATACAATGAAATTGGAAACATTACTAACAATATTGAAAGTTATCATACATTTGCAATACATTAGTACATTATGTGTTAAATGTGGGGAACTTTGAACAGCCTTTGCAAGTAATTCAATCTCTAAACCTTACTGGGATTCAATTTTTACTACTAGCTATTTCGATTGGTAAGGCACTTTATCAAAAATCTCTCTATACCCAGGAGTGTATGTGGGTAACCTGGTAGATTTAAATACCAATTTGCTAATTACAGTATTAGCAACATTGCAGAGTGGATGCACCTTCTCTTAAGAAGTGTACCAACTGATATAAAAGTGTATTTCCGAATAAATCAATAAGTGATGTTTTTCATGCCTTGGAATTCTACATTTATCATTTATACAAACCTCTTAGACGTGGTGTCCTATCCACCCATTCACCAACAATTGCACCAAACAAAAGAACAGAAATGGTCCGGGCTAATCCAAAAATGGAGGTAAGTCGAAGCAAGCCATCTTCAAACCTTACCAAGTAAAGAGCCACACCGAATGACCACATTCGATCTCCCTGAAAATACACCAACAAGTCTGTCAATTCATTGTTGAAGAAAATATCGTTTTTCCGGCATTATTTGCCGGAATAAAATTCTCCCAACTGGACTTGAAATATAAAAAAATTAACATTTTAAAATTTCAAAGCAATGGTTTATATTTACTTGCTTTCACATTTACAAATCCAAGAATTGACTTCTGGTCAGTGCAACACTAGTAGGAAAAGAGAGGTACTTTAACCCTCCTTATCTGAGAGTTCTATCCCCTATGGTGACCACTTGTCACAAAATGATAATTCCATGAGCTTTGGTTCTATAACCCCTCAGAACTGTTTAAATATAACCCAAAATCACCCAGATTATCCAAAAGAGTTCTCCTACACCCGAACCAGTGTTTTGTGGCCCATTGTTTCCTATCGGAAATTGTAGGCCCTATTGAACCATTCAATATGTAGTAAAAAGGTACTGTAATTGTTGGTTTTTAACCACCAACAATGATGGCTCCAATACAACCCCATACATACCCAGGATGATAAAGCTTGACTGCAGTAGATAAGGAATGCATTACTGTGAATCCAGTCATAAAAAGATAGACAACAACCAGCATTTGCGACTGCTAAAAAAAAAAGACATGTTTACAAAGTGTCAACAACTGCCATTAAACATGATTGCCAGTGAACATGATGTCATTTAACATGATTGGCGGCTGTTATAATTAACAGACAGGTGGCAATCAATAACCGCTTGTCATACAACATGTTAAATGTACTTTTTATCAATGTTACTATTTATTTTTATCTTATTAATACATACATTTTGCATGGAAGGTGGCTAGCAGTTAACTGATGTTATCACAGGTAAAGAAATTTGGAGAGGGAAATAAAAGGTCAAACTAATTTAACATTACCAGTAACTAATATAAAGTTATCAAGTGCCAGTTAAAGATAAATGTATCACTCATATGATAAAAAGAGGACTTTACATCACATAGAGTAAGACTAATGACTGTTATGATGACAGGTAATGACATTTAATCGATGAAGGATCATGCAATAAATTGCATAGATTCACTACCTAATCATCACGATAGATACAGTAATGAGTAAGGACATTTACCTTTGGAAGTCAATTCAAGCAAATGTACAGAAAGTTCTATAATATGGAAATTACTGGTAAAAATAGCAATATTTTACAAGACTCGGCAGACATTGCAATGTGCAAAATATTAAAATGTATTGCTGGGATTTTTGTGTATTAAATTTCACAAATATGTCCTTTAATGAACTTCAACTCCTACCTGCATTTTAAGAGTTATTATTATTTTACATACGATATGTAAATAAGAATTTGTGATAGACTGCCCAATACAGTATAATAATATACTACTTATTTAAAACAACAAATGTAAATCACTACAATAAAATACAAATGTATTCTATAAACAATATTTTTTAGTCAAATTTATACTATATATTTTTTTTGTGCTTGCTACCTGTACCAGTTAAAAATTCTGCCTACAGTACCTGTTGCTGCATCATTAACATCACTCTCTTCTATTGTGCTTTCTGGTTCTACCGCCTGATCTAAATCCTCAAAACTGGCCCGCCTGTACCATGGGCCTTCGTCTTTTGTGGCTGTGTTCTCCTCTTCCATAGCTTTACTTTGGTGATGAGGGTATGTATTTATATTTGTCTGTCTAACCCACAAATCATCTGTCTCTGAGCTCTCTCCTGTCTTATCCATGTCATCTGCTTATAGTGAATTCTTTGGATTAATTACTACTGTTCATTGTCCTGCTTGATTTATGAAAATGTAACCACCTAAAAAAATATAATAAAAATATTAAAACAAATATATAAATTTCAAACTAATTTACAAAACATTTCAGCAAAGATGGAATACATTATGTCTGCAATTCTTAATTCACCTCACCTTACAGTAGTTCACCTCACCGTGACAAGTCTTTTCTGTATAAGTCCTGTTTAGCTAGCTAGCATGCCTGACTGCCAATCCTATACTCTGCTTATTTAAAGTTATGGGGCAGGATATATATACAGATAGGTCAATTATAATTTGACCTTCAACCTCTATTCTTCAGTCTATCTAGGATCATAGATAATGTGTTTGAGAATGACAATGGTAAAGTTTTTTTTTATCTTGTGTAACAAAAGTAATCTGTCTAGGATGCTTATAGTTATGGAATTTTTGGTCTTAGTTGGGAAAGTGGGTGAGAACTTAGATGTTTTAACAAGATGTACCACAATATGATTATTGATTAAATCTGTACATTCACAATATTTTGAATGAATACATTTCCCTGAAAATATATTCTTCAGTCTATCAGGATCATAGATAATGTGTTTGAGAATGACAATGCTGAAGTTTTTTTTTATCTTGTGCAACAAAAGTAACCTGTATAGGTTGCTTGTTATACTTATGGACTTTTTGGTCCTTGGGGAAAGTGAGTGAGAACTTGGATGTTCTAACAAGATGTACAGTACCACAGTATGGTTATTTGATTAAATATGTACATTCACAAATATTTTGAATGGATACATTTCCAGGAAAATATAATTTATAATGTTTACGTTCATTTTCATTGGTAATTTATTTATATTTTCCCAAAAAGTAGGGTCCCATAAGTCCAAAGGGAAAGGAAGGTCTAAACCAAGTAGTTGCCTTGAGACTCCATTCATGGCCCTGAAGTAATTAAAACATTCACAGTAGCTTTAATTAGATTCAAATAGGTACATTAATATTTTCAGTCTGATGACCTTAAGTGTGTTAATGATGACAGGGGGGGGGCCAATGCTTTTCCACACTGGACTGGTCTGGGCTCCCCCTTCCCCATACCTTAAATTGTTGAAAAATGTTTTTTAAATGGAAAAAAAGAACATTACATTCAAATTTAAGTCTGAGAGTGCCAAATCACTCCATCTACTGTGTAAAGGTGCCACAGCCATAACATTTTGCTTTGGACCCCCATTTATAAAATTCCCCCCAGGGTACCTTCTATTTTGAATTCCTGGATTCGCCTCTGAACATCACAGGAAAGCTGCATGGAAAGCTGTTATACAGCTTGATGGTTAAGATGCTTACCTTTTTAAGTTCTGAGCATGACACCAGAATTTTTTAAATATTTTTTTTGCACAATTATAAACTCAGCTTGATAGCCTTATGATACTTGATAGGATTTTTTCCTTTTCATTGTCTTTATAATTTTTTTTTTGGAGGTTTTATTAGGTATCATCACACTTTTTAGTAATGTATTTTGAGGACCCTACGGAAACAAGTTTTCCACCTTTCTCAATTTATTTTTCCAACATTGATTGTGAATATTATGTATGATATAGTAATAATAATGGTAGACTTATAGAGCGTAAATTATGGAGACCTCTATGCGCTCAATAAGAGCGCTAAGAGCAGTAATAAACCAAAAAAAGCAAGCATAATTTCATTCTTTAATTAACAAATACACTTGCTGTCGGATGTTACAATATACAAACAAAATAAAGTGTAGCAACATTATGATTTTAATTGGTATACTGTAAATGTAGTGCAAAATAAACCATCATTAAGATACCATAAAACCTCGAATTGAAGCCCAGTGGGCTTAATCTCGAGATGAAGCCCATCTAGAATTGAAGCACCCATCTTTAGTCTGCAAAATTAGCCTCGAAAAGAAGCCTTCAAGATAGCACAGGCTTCTTTTCTAGATAGTACGGTACATACACTGTACATGAATTTAAAAAAAAACAAATTAAATTAAAAACAAACTTGGTTTATACAGTAGTTTAGCTGATTTAATGCCAGTTAAATACACTCCATGATACAGATTGATGTTACAGTGGCCCTATTTGTGGCAAAGACAAGCCAAACCAGTCACTCGTCGCAAAAATGGATTTTGAGTTATTAATACAGGGTTAAAGAGTAAAATAAGAGCTATAAAATGGTAAAAAAACATTCAAATCTGACATTTCCTTATGAAGTTACAAGCATTTAAGCATACAGCTGTTTAAAGAACAATATATGAGAAATCAGCCTTCAAAGTTTATGATTTCAGGCATTTCTCATGCAGAAACTATCATCCAGAGCTGTCTCTTATACACATCTAGATGTGTATAAGAGACAGGTATAGATACATAAACCTTAGTTTAGTGAAATAAAATAGATTTTTAAAAATTTTACATTCTAGCATGTTTTTGCTATTTTCTCTGAAACACAATTTGCGACGAGTGACTGGTTTAGCTTGTCTTTGCCACATTTATTGTTTTATATACAAATTCACAAAATGTACAGCATTCATTTTGAAAAAAAAAGCCCCCCAACTTTACTCTGCAAAAGTTGCCTCGAAAAGAAGCCCATCCAAAGTTCGCAAAAAAAAAAAAGAAGCCCAGGGCTTCAATTCAAGGTTTTACGGTAATATAGATAACACCATGGCACTAATCAGAAGTCCTGGAATTTGGAAAAGGGTGTATTATACAGTATCGTACCTGTTTGCATTTTACGATCTAAATCTGGCAGGCCGCTTATAGCATACTTCACAGGTCTACAGGGCTAAGGCTGCATAATATCTCCAATCTGAAAACCCAAAAAATACATAGAGAACAAGTAACAGAAGGAAAATAGTACCAAATAACTTTAGTGCAAAAACACTCTAAAATAGAAGGTGAAAGTGAAACATTACCGTATGTATTAGATTGCCAAAGTGCAATTATTTTAACATCTCTATTTTAATATCATCGATCATTATAACTCCAATTTTTATTATTGTATGTTTTCAAACAGTAGATTAACTAAGTTGTTTGTTCTTTCACCTTTTGACCTTCTACTGTAGGTCTTCATGTGAATACCATGTGATCAGTCTGTGCACTATTTGAGTAATAATTAGTATTGAAAGTCCAATACCAATAGGGGCCCAGGTAGTTAAGGCTTTAGGAAGATCTGCCATTTTAAGGATTTAACAAGCCTATCTAAACAAATTCAGAATTTATAGGGATATTGTTGTTTTCAGTAATTTATTTTCTTGAAAACAGAAGCTTTGAAATTTATCCTTTAGATATTTCTAAATGTATTAAATAATTGTATACAGTAGACTGGAAACACATATTTAACTAGGCCTAGGCCCATAGTACTCAAACAAACAAATGTACTATTACTGTTGTGAAAAATGCTGATGTACATACAAAGCACAACTGTGAGTTTCCCCTGATTTATGATGTTTGATATTTGAGGTGCAGTATGCAGATATTTCGAACATTTCTGGGGGTTTTCAGTTTCACATAAATTTGTCTCTTACCAGATGAACTATATGTTGTTAATCATTTAACAAGTTTGTGAATAATTCAACACATTATAAACCGAGTAACAGAGACTTTATAAACCTTATGTCACAGAGAATTGAACAAACTGATAGTTTTTAACTGATATAACTAATTGAGTAATTTTATTTTAACTGAAGAAAACAGAAATAAATAAAAGAATTAGGAAGTGATGAAGCAGGCAGGGTTTAAGTTAAGGGGGCCAAAAAATATTTAGCAAATTTGGTTAATTCGGTATAAAAATAATTAATCAAATATAAATTGGATTAGCCAAAACAAAGGAACATAAGAAATGATGGTTTCAATTCAATTAGCATTTTCGGCAAATTTTGAATAAATACATTTAGAGAAAATCAGCTTTTATTAGGATTTGGCTATTTGGCTGATGACAGTTTAAATGCTGTAGGCTGGTAATGACATTAGGGCAATTCCATAAGTTTGGAAATACATTTAGGTAGCTTCCTTGCTTAATATATTCAGTAATAAGGCTACAATTAAATTCATATTACTTCAATATTAAACATTCCAGCCAGTACTATTGTTACATAAATTTTTCATTCTTTAACATTAGTGGTTGCAGAAAAAAATGGCAGAAAAGTTGTCCATGATGGATGAATACAGAAAATGGAATATTTTGAAGTGGAAATTGAAATAAAAATATTCTCTGAAGTTTCTTAGCCCACATGAATAAACTATTAACTGATAAAATTATTTAAAATTGGATGATGCATCTTGTCTGTCAAAATGGCCGAGATGTTTTGTCTGTACATTTATATGACGGAAATTTATGAAATTGATGGATGTACATAATGATAAAGGATAGGAAAATAATATTAATTATTCCTTATTATTCAACTAATAATATAAACATGAACATTGTTAAAACCTGTGTTACACACTACTGAGCTTAATTTTTTTTTGAATTTGAAACGTCTAACCTCCATGCTAAACCTACCGTTGATAGCCATGAAAAGTAGGGATCGCGAACAGGCAGAACAGCAGTCTTATTCACAAATCAGGAACCAGTACAAGTTTAATTTGGCAGTACATGGCCGTAATAGGAGTTCAACCGACACCGGATTTTGGTAAATGGTAGTTCAAGTCCCTAATAATTTTCAGTAAAATAGGTAGCGCAAGTGTCTCATGTCCTGGAGTGGCTGCTGCACCATGTACTTTAATTAGTAAAGTTACATGCAATGATAAAATAGGCCTATATTTGTTTAAATAAATTTAAGATCTTTAATAAATTAGTTTGTATTGTAGCATGTACAGCTTGTTTTATGTGACGGATGTACACAATTTGGACGTGGCAGATGTATTGAAAACTCACTAGCACAGATGTTGGCTTCACAGAGTGTTAGCTATTGGTTTAACATGT